TTCACTGGTGTGCACAGCCACCATGTCGTTGACACACACCTGCTCCACGATGTCTACTTCATACATTCACGCATGCATGTTGGTCATCATTCGTGAACACACAATAGGCTCGATTCCTCCTGTGGCAACAGTGAGCACGATCGGGGAAGTTAATGAGGTTCAAAGGACACCGCGCACTGACCTGCAAGAGCACTTAAGCGTCGGGTGTTGGAGATTGTGAGCATGAATAGTGCGAGTCCACAAGGTGTCCTCCAATTCGCCACCGACTAGATTCGATTCATATGAGGTAAATAAATTGCGGCACTCAGTTGATAGCCCTCTCAAAATCTCGTTTTTGTTTATTTCCTCTGCTAAAAATTACTTTTATAAATGCAGTCTCCCAGTGTCCCAAGAATTTCATCCAATAAAGCATTTAACAGCATCCACGTCACCACTTTCAGTGAATAAGACGATTTAACTGATACAGAAACTCTCTATGTGAGGCCTCTCACCCACGAATAACTTGTCTTTATGCTTCCAAGTTGAAAGCCACCAGTACAGAGCTGGAGCTTACATCACTTCATCAATCTGACTAACCTCAACTGCTATACCATTGCTTATACAGGGCATTCAAGAAGGGAACGCTCTATAAAACGACCTCTCCATCTGATAGCCACCCATGCCACTCATGGAGAATCCTAAGCACCTACATAACGTGGACTAAGCCTCAAAAGTGTACTTGCTTGCTTTAATCGAGATTTTGGCCTTCAAACATTAAAGCGTTCGCTGTCACAGATCGCGGTTCATTGCTGTGGAGGAAATGTAGTCCGGTAAACTATGGCTCCCCTATACGTCCGATGCGCCTTACACTGGTGTAGGAAAGAATTCGCATTTCTTTCCCGCAAAGTGAAAGAAGGCAGCATTGACAGTGTTCTTCGTCCAGTCCATGGCTCAAGCATGACCTCTGCATCCTTTATAATCAAGTAAATTTTATAACTAAAGTTAGAATTAAATCCGCATGCCAGTTTTTGGTCTTCTACCTGAATTTGGTAGAACCCTCTAAAATTCAGCATCAAGTGCATTTTTGGTACTGCGATAAGTAATTCAGTGGGGTAGACAGGTGATCCCGATAAAAGGTCAATGCGTCATCCAATGCATCTCAAAAGAGAGGTACCAGCACTTTCTCAACAACTTTGTAATGGCTTTTGTAGTCGCATGCATCAACCAGCATCCAGAACTCTCATATGTAAAGCCGTTGACCAACGGAGACGGGGATGGAGAAGGAACAAATACCCAAAATAACATACCACTGAAATCAGGAGGAAATAGAATAGAAGGACAGCAGAGATAAATCTTTCGGCTTCTTGAAGAAAGATAGTGACAGGTGAAAAATTTTTCCCTTTTTTGGGGGAAATTAATTAAGGCAGACACAAAGAGGTATCAGGTAAGTATTGGTGTGGCACCACCATTAAAATAGACGTTTAAATCAGGTCCGACTTATTGATCTTAATGAATGTGAATGGTAGGTGTACAAAGCATCATGGGGTGTCATGATTAACTGTTAAGCTCTAAGAGACATACCGGGCATCTAAGCGCCTTGCATTACCTGTTTGACGCCAAAAGAATAAACAAACACCAGTCTGGGATAGGGTTAGGTTAGATTGAATGGGGAGGGGGAAAGGGTGAGAGTGGGTTGTTTCCGAGAAACTGGTTTAAAGGGGGATGGGAAAGCGGAAACGTTGCTTAACTCTCATAACTACTGGAGTCAATGAAAGCGCTGCAATGTAACTAGTTGCTCTAGGTCCATTTTAAAAGCTGAAGGCTTTGATTTCTCAGCGAATCTTCTTTCACAGACCCACACATACCCACACATCATACTAGATGGCAATGCTACGTTGCAAGCTAAATGGGATGGGATGTCGGTATTGGAAGACCCAGTTCTCCTTCATTTTCCTTTTAATTTAAATAGAAATTGAAGTAGAGAGGTGAAAACGCAGAATTGCTGGACGAACAAATGGCGTCCTCTGCTTTACCGCCAGGTTAATTGTTGGGGGAGAGTGAGGAAAAACCACTGGTCCTAAGACCGCAGTGGCACAGACAATTTGTCGACACACCGGAATCCCCCTTGGTCAATTAATAACCTAACTGGCATTCAATTCTGAACACATGAAAGAAGAGAAATGCTCAAGCTCAAGGTCACCATTATGTCTGAACTAGGCGTGTTGACGGATTGGAGAAATGTGCGGTTTACATGCGATTTCTGTGGCTCAAAACCACGTCCTCCTTCACTTTCCTTCTGCTTAAAATAGAAATTAATGTAGAGAGTGAGAAACACAGACGTACTGGTAGCATGAAAATAATGAAAGTGTGGGTCGCAAATCGGAATGACGGCGTTTGCTTCACAGCCAGTATAAAGGTGGGAAGCGACAGAGAGAGAGGGGGATACGAAGGGCGAGAGAGGAAGATCTACTTACCCTAAAACCTCACTGACGCACGTAATCTGTCGCCACTCTGGGACTGTCCATGGTCAATAAATCACCTATGTGGCATCCAATCCTGACTAGATAAAAGAGGAGATATCTGAATTCCCAATCTCAAAGTCACGGTTATGTGTAAATCAAGCGGGTTGACGGATAACAGAAATGTGCAATTTACGAGATAAGTATCGGTGCAGGCTCGACCATCTTGAATGTCTCATACTCCACTTGTTATTTGTAATCCAAAGGCGATAGCTTTTTTTCTTGATGGCATTAAACCTTCACCACTCATCACCTCATTCTAAGTTGACATGATGGGGATAACTAGGATGCCCATAGGACCATTCGCCTTTATTCAACCATCAGTGTCAAGCTCAGATGACTAAAATAGCCCATAGCGTCACTAAAAACACAGAACAACCGAACATTCTGTGAAAGAATGCAGCCAACTCCACTTGATTCAGGGGATTTATTGTGCTCCTCCTTTTGGCAAAAGATTCGTTCTCCATATGCACCTGGGAACAGGAGGGTTTATGACCGCACCACAGCACTGGACATTTGCCAACTGCTAGTGTCGCTATAAACAGGCACTTTCCCTCCGAAGAAGAGCATGACTGCATGGATTGGTGGGTTAATCGAGATTGATGCGTGAGTGACCGCCTGCCAAATAGTGCAGACTGGCGGAGACAGAGGGTGGTGCCCGACTTGCGCAGCTATGACACTTGACTATTTGTAAAACAAATTAACAAGCAGCACACAAAGAATCACAAAACCGAAAAATATATTCGTGTGAAAAATCCTGTTCCTCATTTCTTGGTAAGCGGTGATCGATGTGGTAAGCGCTGTCCATTGTACATTGCATCCAAATGTCAGTGCTTCTGGCAACTAAGGTGAACTAAAAGTGTCGGTCAATGTGTCAGCTCTACCTGACTTTGCCCAAAACAGTGGAATAGAAGGCGACGTAGAGTCGGACGTTAAAAGTAAGATGTAGATAGTCCGGGAGGCTGTCAAAT